ATCAGGGTCTTTTCCAGGGAGGTGGCCAAAGTACTGGAGCCTCAGCTTCACGATCTGTCCTTCCAGTGAGCACTCATGGCTGATTTCCTTCAGAATGGATAGGTTTGATCTTCTTGCAGTCCATGGGACTCTCAAGAGTCTCCTCCAGACCATAATTCAAAAGCATCAATTCTTTGGCGATCAGCCTTCTTTATGGTCCAGCTCTCACTTCCATACATCACTACTGGGAAAACCATAGCTTTAACTATACGGACCTTTGTTGGCAAGGTGATGTCTCTGCTTTTTAAGATGCTGTCTAGGTTTGTCATTGCTTTTCTCCCAAGAAGCAGGCATCTTTTAATTTTGTGACTGCTGTCACCATCTGCAGTGATCATGGAGCCCAAGAAAGTAAAATCTCTCCGGAAGTGTGCAATTGCACTTGTTTTTCTTCTTTATGATGGAGAGTTTTATTCACTGTTTCCTGAAAAATCTCAGTTTGACAGATGGAATGTGGAAATCTGGTTTGCTCCCCCCTCTTCTCTCCCTAGACTTTCTGGAACCACATAGTCTCATGCTGCATCAACTATATTGGCCAAGTTTACTGAAGGAAATGACCAGCAAAGATACTCCTCCCATGACTTCCTAATTCTGCAGTTCTAAGCAAAGAAGCAGGTCTGTAGTGCTGCTAACAGAAGCAACGTTGCTGCTGGCTCTCTGCTCCTCCCAAATTATGCCTCTTAGTTGCAGATTTAACCTTTGGGGAGACAGGGCAAATTTTATTAAGCTGTTGCAGAGTTTTCTCCTGATCATAGGCACTGGGGTTTTGCTGAGTCAGGCATCTGTCACATGTCACCCTTTTGAAGAAACCATCACTGAGATGCACAAGCTACACGCTGGGGCTCAGCATGATCCTTGAGTTCAAGCTAGGGACTGGCAAATCATTCAGTTTCTATTCCTCTGCATTTCTCATATCTCTCACCTTAAGTTTGTTTCAAAAGCATTTTTTAAAAGTCCCCGTGAAAATTAATCAGCATTTTAGTGCAAATTTCTCCCAACAAGCACACTTTCCATGCACTCTTGCTTAATATGTACAATTTTGCAAAGTGGCTTCTCCACATATGAAGCATTTTAGTATATTATGTTCATGAATACATGTTCCTTGGCTGGACAAGTTCAAAGGATGGCTATGTTTCGGTTCGTGCATTGTTTCAGATCAGAAAGTGGAAACTAGGTAGATCACCTGTAAATGTGGACAGAATCAATTTCCCCCCCCCTCCCTAGTTCCAACTTTGTGGGCAGAGCACTTAGTGGCAAGATCTCATGCTTTGCATGCAGAAGATTCCAGTTTCAATCTCTGGCATCTCTAGGGCCTCTCTGCAGAGGCTTTGCCAGTCAAAGACAAGAGCAGAGTGAAAGGGAGAGAACGCGAACACCCTCTCTTCCTGCTTTAGAGTTTGCAGGCAACTCTTTGAACAAGCACCAGCGCTTATTTGCAGCACCCAGAAAACTCGTTCTACTTCAGATCCCCAGGATAATTTTCTTGACATGTTCTTTTGTTTTCAAAGGGTAATCCCGATGCCTTTCTACTGAAAATTTGTTCAGCAAACATCAACAATCCTAATGAATTATGGTGTGGCTGAGCAGTGCCCAATTTAAAGCCAGGACAAGGCAACTAGGCCAACATTCATTTGCAAGTGGCCACACTGGAAGCTGAGCAGGCACCAATTTCCCTTATAAAAGCGCCTTTGAGATGAAGCCTTGATGAGTTCCAGATGCCAATCACCAGCCCTCCCCCTCAGTTCCATTGTTTTGGAGCCAGCTGTACTGAGCAGTCCAAGACTGTCCAGTCCTTAACTCATTGGTTGACCAAGCAAAAGAGCATCCAGCTGTGTTTTTAAATGCAATTCACAGGCACAGATTCCTCATAAGGATGACTGTGGAGAGTTTTAGCCTGGAAATATGTGGGCTGGAGAAGGGGAATGATAAAAGTTTTGTTTTTTTTCTTGATTGTCCTTCTGAGAAACTCATTAAAACAGGAAGTTACAAAATAATGATTACCGGTATGTGTAATTTTCATCCAAGAAAATCATACAATACAGATAGCAGTGGTTGGTAATGTTGTGACTTGGTATGGCTGCAATTTTTAACTTTGCTGTTTTCATCACAGTAGGATGTGTATGTCATTTATTTAGGAGAGTGTGCCATTACAGATGTGCAGTGTGCTACTGTCTCCTCTCTATGAAAAAAAAATCCCCATCACTTATTTGCTGCACAGAGAAAGAGCTTCCATGTAAGAGGGCCCAAGTATGATTTGCAGACAAGATTGATGCTGTCTTGCTTATTTAGAAATGAAGTCATACCACATTACAGTGGTACCTCTGGTTGCGAACAGGATCCATTCCCAAGGCCCGTTCGCAATGTGAAAAGCCTGCGACCTGAAGCGCCGTATCTGCGCAGGTGCATGGCGAAATTTGGTGCTTGTGCACATGTGCGAAGCGTGATTTAGCGCTACTGTGCATGCACGAGCGGCGAAACCCGGAAGTAACCCTTTCCGGTTACTTCCGGGTCGCCGCAGGACGCAACCTGAAAAAAGGTAACATGAAGCAAATGTAACATGAGGTATGACTGTACACATTTCCAGGGCTAGCCCACCCATGAGGCAAGATGGGGCAATTGCCTCGGGTAGCAGGGTCCACCGGAGCAGCAGATCCTGATGTTGATCTTTCTCCCCCACCCCACCAAGTGGTTCCTGAAGCAGATCTTCTCTGGCCCCTTCTTCCCTGGAAGAGAGGAGGAAAGGGTGGGGTCATTTTGGGATCCTCCTCAGGTACCAAAATGTCTTGGGTAGGCCCTACACGTCACTATCACATGGGATGTGCTATATGCACCCTCTTGCCACCCTCTAGACTTCCTGCAGTGCAGTTGGGGCAGGAATGGTGTTATATGCTCAAACTCTCTTACCCCAGGGAGCAACCTGGCTTCTGAATTCTGCACCAGCTAAAGTTTCCAAACCATCTTCAGAGGCAGCCTCATTTATAACACAATGCAGTAATCAAACCTAGAAGCTACCAGAACATAGATGACAGAAGTTATCTCTGTCCAGATAGGGGCGCAGCAGGACTATCAATCAAAGCTGATGGAAGGCACTCTGTGCCACTGAGGCCACATGAGCTTCAAGTGACAACAGCGGATCCAGAAGTACCCACAAGCTACATACCAGTACCTGTTCCTTGAGAGGGAGTGTAACCCCATCAAGAACAGGCAATCTCCCATCCATCTGGTCTAGGGATCCACCCACTAACAGTACCCCAGTTTTATCTGGATTGAGCTTCAGTTTGTTAGGTCTCATCTAGCCTTTAAACAAGGCAAGGCAATGCATCCATCCAGTGGCGTAGCGTGGGGGGTGCAGGGGGGGGGCCGGCCGCACCGGGCGCAACATCTGGGGTTAGGGCAAATCCACAGGTTAGGGGGCGCAAATCCACGGGTTAGGGGGCGCAAATTACTTGCCTTGCCCCGGGTGCTGACAACCCACGCTACGCCACTGCATCCATCACACCCACTGCTATACCTGCAGGTGTAAAGAATTAGAGCTGTGTGTCATTGGGCATGTTGCTGACAATATTTTGCAAAGCTCCAGAGAACCCCACTCAGCAGTTTCATGTAGAAGCTAAACAGCATGGGAGATGAAATTGAACCTCGGGGACCCAAAATGGAAGCCTCCACAGGGCTGATGAGCACTCCCCAAGCATCACCCTCTGGAAACGACCATCCAAGTAGGACAGGAAGCACAGACAAGTGGGGCCACCCACCTCTAACTTAGACAGCTGCTCCAGAAGGAAACCATGGCTGATGGTCCTGAAAGCCACTGAGAGATCAAGGCAAATGAACAGGGTCCATTTCCCCTGCCTCTCTCCCGAAAGAGGTCATCAACACATGCTTTCTAGGCATGAGGCAAGCACAAGTCTGGATGAGCCTTTACTTGAGCTCTCCAGCAAGTGTGACTTGTGGTTCTTCTGCTTAGAGGCATCTTCTCTGGAATACAGTGGCAGTGCCTGCACTTCCTGCACACTCTGATCTGAAATCTATGGGCTAGTCCTGTTCAGACGGAAGGATTCTATTTTGAGGCTCCTGCATAACCAGATATGGGATCACAATTCATATACAGTGGTACCTCAGGTTAAGTACTTAATTTGTTCTGGAGGTCCGTTCTTAACCTGAAGCACCACTTTAGCTAATGGGGCCTCCTGCTGCTGCCATACCGCCGGAGCACGATTTCTTTTTCTCATCCTGAAGCAAAGTTCCTAACCCGAGGTAATATTTTTGGCTTAGCAGAGTCTGTAACCTGAAGCGTATGTAACCCGAGGTACCACTGTATGTCAGTAGGGTACTCAAAGAATTTTATACCATCAAGTTGAAAGCTGTTGCTGCTGGTGGTAAGAATTTAAACCTCAATTTAAGCTTGGGGCAACTGCTCTAGGAAATAGTGAAAAATGAACCTACTGCCTAGCTTCTCTGCTCTGTAATATATTAAATGGCAACAACTTCCAGCTACTGAAACATGGTCTTCGTGACCCTATGGGTAGAGGTTAGTCATCCTAGCTTGCCATTCTAAATAGACTTTAACTCCTTTTGTACAGGTGGAAGGGCAGGCATGCTGGTGGAAATCCAGCTCTCTTTGCATATTTGATCAGTGCAATATCTATACAGTCATACATTGGTTTTCAAATGCCATGGGAATCGAATGTTTTAGCTCCCTAAAGATTGAAAACTGGAGGTGATTGTTCCAGTTTTCAAACATTCTTTGGAATCCGAACGCCCGACGTGACTTCCGCGCCTTCCTTCAGCCAATTGGAAGCCGCGTCTTGGTTCCCGAACATTTTGGAAGTCGAACGGACTTCTGGAACGGATTCCGTTTGACTTCCAAGGTACCACTGTAGTAATAATTTTACTGCCAACATCTTTTAGTCTAGATTAACAAATCTAAATGCTAACAGCAATTACAAAGAGAGACTCATTTCAGATATGTGGTAAAATAAAGTGAACATATCACATCATTTATTTGGAATGGCTACATTAATGCAAAAAGCAACATTAAGACAGCTATTTGCTTAAAAAGCATTCATCAAAATAAATACAAAATATTGATACTACAAATAATTTAAACTATGTCTTTCCTCCCCACCAGGTGGTGTAGGATAGTCTTTGCATCTTATAAATATAAAACAAAATAGCAGTTTGCAAAGTGGGCCTCCTCTTCAGTTGGCCAGACTTTGTGTTTGTCAAAAGTTTCTTTGGTTTGCAAAAGCCTTTCAGCAAAGATTTGGCTCTCCTGCTCAGCAGCCTCATCAGATCCGAAGAGATCTAGCAGTCGCTGGCATCCTTCTTTGCTTTCCTTCATTGGTACCTTGCTCCGGTGCACTTGAATCACAGTCAAAGACACTTGGTCCTGTTGTCATCCAGAATAATGTTCTATAGATGGGGAGGGAGAGAAAGGTAAGAGGAAGTCAGCAAAATGACGAAGACCAAGTAGAAATCTCAAACTGGTTTTTAAAAGATTTGCCCAAATAAAAAATAATAAGAGCCTTGTGGCATCTAAAAGCAGGGGTGGCCAACTTACAGGATATGTAAGAGGTCATCTGTGGCCTCCATAACCACACTATATATTTTTTGAAATTATATTGCTGGTTTGTTTGTTTTTTAAATGATTCTTTCTATAGGTCCTCTGTTGTAATACCATGATGACAAAAAGTCCCTACAACTCCCTCCCCTCATTTTTATAATAAACAAATGTTTTTACTGACTATTCCCATGGATCCTGATGTGATTTTTGGCTGCAGCCATTTTGACTCATGGGCAACACTTTGGGAGTCAGTATGGTCCTTGGCCTCAAAGTACCTAGTTATCCTTTCCTGAAGAATTAACAAGTTGATTTACAGCAAAGGTTTTTATGGACCAAAATTTGCAAATGCTTTTGCCATGATAAACCCATTAATTTTTAATTAATAAATTTTTTAAGCGTCATAAGGCTATTTTTGATGCAGCAGACTAAAATGACTACTCCTCTGGTAAATGCTTGAATACAAAATGAAGCAGCAGCTAATGCTGCATTTCTTAAGTTTCAGTGTAGGTTGCAGACGAGTCTTTCTTCCATATAATTAGTGGGATTAGGGTGAGAGGAGAACAATTGCTAGTGAATGTTTTAGGCAGAGTCCTCCAATTTGCAGAAACTAGAGTCAATGGAAATAGGAGCAGTACACTGGAAAAAAAAAATCCCCTCTTTTCAAATGGCATAGCAGGCAGCATTCAAAGTTGTCCAAAGGCACATTCACAATAAATCCCCGAGTTGACATTAGAGCACTAGGCAGTGGCTCTGAAACATTTACTGCCACAGACCACATGAAACCTGTTGAGGGTGTTGGCAGACCACTTAATGATTTTTCTGCCTGTCGTAGGAATTATAAGGTGCTGTGTGCTAGATGCTGTATGGTTTAAATGCATTTTTATTGCTTCTTTTATTTCTTATATTGTACCGTATTACATATACAATGTTGAATATAAGAAATAAAAGCATCAAAAGTACATTTAAAAATCAGTATATTTAAAGTGATCAGTGTGCCGGCTCCTGCCTTCCGCCACATACCCTGTGGACCACCTGAATGAAGCTCATGGACCACAGTTTGGGGACAGAGCATCTCAGCAATGCAATCCTAAACATATCTCCTAAGTCACTAACAGTTCAGTTTGTAGGAATTGTGATCAGGTCTGCAAAAAACTTGCTCTGGCATAATAAGCACTAAGAGCTTACAAGGCCATCAACCTTCATACTTTGAAGTATCCTTGCTGAAGCCCAACATGTTTTGCAGCTTCAAGAGCAACTGAATACACCTCCATTATAGTTTAATTACATTTTTACAGGAAAGATTTCTGGTCAGTCAGAAGAGAAGCACACACTACATAGTCTGTGTGGGCCAGCCCTATGTGGCACCAACAGGGTGCATAGAATTCTGTGCAGGAAAGACCCTTTGCCACTTTCCAAGAATCATGGTCTAGTTTCTCTGGAGAACATGGACTTCGGCCCAAAACACACACTCAAGACTTCTTGCTTACTTTTTTCCTGCCAAAAATCGCTCTCCCTGCAAAGCCAGTCCTCCCCCACCTCTAGCCTCCTCTTTTGGTTTGCAGCATACCTGGCTGCAGTTTTGCAATCATGGACCACCGCAGGTTCTGTAATTGTTCTGCCCTTAAAAGTCCCAGGGGTGGCTGCTTGCAGGTAGCATCACCCTCATCTCGCTCCAGCTGAGTTAGCGCAAACCCCAGCTTTGCCTGCATCTTGCACAAAGACATTTTGTGCATTCCGATATCAATGGCTCTAAAAGGAAGCTGCCTTATTCAGAATAACCCATCTCAGGGTTGTCAGCAGCCCCCTCGGTTTCCAGAGGGGTTTTTCTCCCACTCCTACCTGGAGATGCCAGGGAGTGAACAAAGCAGATGCACTACCCCGGAGTGACTGCACTTCTCCTCCTCCCAAGTGCACTGGGCACTTTGGCTGACGCTGGTCCGCCAAGAAGCGGCAAGAGGGGCTTGGGAGGAAGAAGAGAAGAGGCAGTTCAGCAACGGGGCGCCCTAAGGCCTGTTCCCACTTGGCGGCGGCTGGTTCTTTGTCTCCGCAGCCCAGGAAGCTAGAAGTTTTTCCGAACCCCGCACCTCCGGTGGAGTTTGCGGAGTCGACTTCGATCCAATTCCTTGTCCCTTCAAATCTCGCCCACCTCCGCCTTTGCTACTAAGCTTATTCCAACTGCAGCCTATATATGCAAAAGGCTCCTCGATCGGGACTAACCTCCAGCCCACTTTAGTGCACGAAACGAAGAAGCCACCGGCTCACGATTGGCGAGCCCCCAGCCTCCCCTCCATCCCGCCGCGCATCTCCTGCTCCCTCCTTCACCTTTGGTCTCTCGCTCGGGGGCGCGCGTGTCGGGCTCAGGGGGCGCGCGCGAGGCGCCTGTCCCGGGTGGCGGCGGCCGCGTGCTCGGCGGCCTCCTGGCGGCTCTTGAAGTCCTCGATGGCGCGCTTGTTCTGGAAGTCGATGAGCGCCATGGTGATGGAGGCGTTCCAGCAGCTCTCGCCCGGGCACCGAAAGTCGATCTCCTTGCGGTCCGTCGTGACGATGGTGAAGTACACGTACTTGCCCGTCCGCTCCACGCAGTCCACCTTCTGGATGGAGCCGAAGCGCAGCTCCTTCCCGCCGCCGCCCCGGGCCTTGCCGGCCTCGGGCGAGAAGAGGCTCAGGCTGTCCTTGCTCAGCACCACCGCCTTCTTCTTCCACAGCTGGAAGAGGCTGTCGCTGCGCTTCTCCAGCTCGCCCTCGCGGATCACCTCCGACGGCGACGCGGCGCCCGGGCCCTTCATGCTGCTGCCGCTGCTGCTGCTGCTCCCCGCGCTCGCCAACAGAGCCGCCGCACCGAGATCGCCTCGAGGGACCAGCGCCAAGGCCACGCTCGCCCGCCTGTCTTGCTTGCCTGCCTGTCTTCCGACGGGGACGCTGGCCTCTCCCGCCGGCTCCGCGACGCTGCTGGGATTCGCTGTGCGCTTTGCGGGAGAAGAGAACCATTTATGGCCTTGGAGAGACGTCCCAGGCCCCGCCCTGCGAGCCCCGCCCCGCCTGCCGGCTCCGTCGCCCCGCCCACGCCAGACTGCCCCCCCCCCCGTTTTCTCTCTGTCAATTCCCCACGGTCTAACCCAGCGTCGTTCAACTCTCCACTGACAATCTTCTTTTAGCCATCATCACCACTGCAGGTGTTGCCCTGCAATGGTCATTGCAAAAGTGGGGTGCAGGACCTGACAATGACTTTCCCATCCCCACCCCCTTCCCAGCTAGGAGTGCTGGCTTTCACTAGATTCTCGATTATTATTGCACCCTCTGTGGGTTAAACCACAGAGCCTAGGGCTTGCCGATCAAAAGGTCAGTGGTTCAAATCCCCGCGACGGGGGTGAGCTCCCGTTGCTCGGTCCCTGCTCCTGCCAACCTAGCAGTTCAAAAGCATGTCAAAGTGCAAGTAAATAAATAGGTACCGCTCCAGCGGGAAGGTAAACGGCGTTTCCGTGTGCTGCTCTGGTTCGCCAGAAGCGGCTTAGTCATGCTGGCCACATGACCCGGAAGCTGTACGCCGGCTCCCTTGGCCAATAAAGTGAGATGAGCGCCCCAACCCCAGAGTCGGTCACGACTGGACCTAATGGTCAGGGGTCCCTTTATCTTTTTTATGGCTGGTAGCCGAACATGTGACCTGATGACACTGAAAAACGTTGCATATACAGTATTTGTGATGGGCCATTCAGAGGCACAAACCCTCACTTCAGCCCCATTCAGGTGCATGCAGAGCTGGGTGGAAAGTGGATTGCCTTGGCAGACTTTGTTAGGTCCAGTAGATCCTGGTGGTATCACTGAAGGTGCATAAGCCTGTGGACTGAGAGTCCTGCTTTTGGGAGAGGGGTTGGCGGGATTGACCCTGTCTCAGCCTTCATGAATTCATGGAGTGCTGGATCTTGTCTGCAAAGGGCTTTAATGTTGTAGTCAACACATGTGGAACATGCATGTCTGAGCCAGCCCCAAAGGGATGCTTCACAGATGACATCTTAAGGGGTAAACCTTAAACATTTTGTGAGTTACATGCAAAAAAGTGAGAGCCGCAAAGCTGTGTTTGCAAACGTGTATTATACACTTACTAAGTGCACTCAACAAAGCACTGGAATGAAGTGTGGCTCCATAAAATGAAAAAGAAAAGAAAAGAGGAAAATGAGACTGGCCTGTGGCAGACAAAAATAGAAAAGCAAAACAGAGAAACCCAACTGAAAATGTAGAAAAAGGAATATGTAATTGAAATAGCCCACAAATAATGGGAAAAATTATTGGCACTATGTTGCTGCAGATTGATACCGTGCACAATAAAACATAACATAAACACATCAACCGATACACAGAATAATTATGAATTCACAAGGTGATTTTACAGGCGCAAGTGCTGGACTTGTGGGTATACATGTAAACAGAGCTCTTCCCACTTCCCACTAATTCCAAATGAGCTCAAGAGCTGCATAGCTGAATGTTTCAAAACTGCAACTGCATCCCCAAGTGTTTTGATAGGGATTAAGTGTCCCAGTCTCCTGAAGTCTTAATGTACACAGACAAAAAGTTGTCGATTCCATGCCTTGGAAATGACGATAGGGACAAAGAAAATGACGCAGAGTACTATAGCAAGGGAGAAGATTAACAGCCAGTTCTTTAGTCTGCTGTTTCTTTAGCTTGTGTGGATGCTTTATTTGGGATTGATTGTTCTCTGTGTTAAGAGAGTGAGCTATGAACCTGCAAGTCCCTGGTTTGACTTGGGTGAGCGGCCTTAGGAAAGCCACCTGCACCTCTCTCTGCCTCACAGCTTCAGTCCCTGCCACATCTGCAACATGGCAGATAATGGCTAGATAATGGCCAGTTCCCCTGGCAGAAGCCCACACAAGGGCTTCTGCTAGTGTAATGGGGCTTCCCCCCTCTTCCCCCGCTCCCCTCAAATTGGCTCTCAGTGGGTTGGGAGAAGCGCAGAGCAGTGCACAGGAGAGCAGGGGGCGTCGTTCCCCCTGGGAAGCCAAAATGCTTGCACTGAAGGAAGGATTGGCATCATGCTATGCTGAATTTCTCCCTCCAGTTTCTGACTTACAGTAGCAGTGGATAACCCATCTCCTGCCAGAAGTTGGACTCTAAACTCCCATAAGGCACAGCCAGTGGCGCTCCAGTGTGGAATGCCTTGCCTAGCTACAGTATGTTCACCCACTTCCCGAACAGCAAAGTTTTTCTGTGTTTCGGGGAGGAGTTTCCAGATGCCAGCCCTTTACGCTACAAGCTGATCCTTGTTGAGACTGAGCAGCTGAGTATTCGTTACTGGCACCCCCTCTCCTTCCTTCCTTCCTTCCTTCCTTCCTTCCTTCCTTCCTTCCTTCCTTCCTTCCTTCCTTCCTTCTTTCTTTCTTTCTTTCTTTCTTTCTTTCTTTCTTTCTTTCTTTCTTTCTAAAACATTTTTATTGAGTTTCCATTTTATATAAATATAACACACTCAAATTTTTCACCTTATATTCCACTCTCGCTAGCACTTCACTCCCCTCCCTCCCAGCCCATGATTGCCTTAAATTATATCTTTTAAAATTGCATTTCATATTTCCCTTCTTTACTTTCTATTCAATTCTGATAATCACAAAATTATATTAATTATAAATCAGTGCTTTCTATAAACTATCAAGCTATAAATCAGTCCTGTCAGTGTTGTTAAATGTTTACAATTATCTTTCAAATACTCTGTAAACTTATTCCAGTCTTTATGAAACGTTTGATCCATCTACTTTCTTTTAGATGTCTGGCAAATACGTTTTTATTCAACTGGGCCCTTCAAACACCTTGGTCATTTTAAATTCTGATTTTTTATTTGCTGCTTTTCTGCAATCCTATCCATCAGCAGTGGGTTGGTTTCATTTTCTTTGTTCCCCTCAGAAATAAAGGCTCTGTGCAGCATACATTTAAAGCATATTACCACCCCCCCATGAAACCTGTGAACTATAGTTTGTTAAGGGTTCTGGAAACTGTAGCTCTATAAGTGGTAAAATACAATTTCCAGGATTATTTGAAGGGTGTGTGTGCACTTTGAATGTATGGTGTGGATGCAGACAATCTCGCAAGTACACCAAATGGCTCTCTACGCCTTCAGCTCACCTTCCTTTATAATGCGACAGTCTCTCTCCCTTCTGCTCCCCTCCTTCATTTTTCCTGCCAACATATTGCATTGCCCACCTCTTCCCCCTCATAGCCTTTACTTCAAGGCTGACCCAAGGCAATTTGTGGCCTGCGGCAAAAAACAAGATGACATCTTCCACTTTCCCTTTCCATATTCAGAAACTGCCTAGAATGGCATTTGACGCTTCTTACTTCAATACTGGCGAACAGCCACAAGGCTGCCCCACCCCACCCCCAGCATTCACGTCTAAGGCAGCCACCTCACTCTGCCTAATGGCAGGCCAGGCCTTGCTCTCCTTGCCTCTGTTCTCTTCAGACATTTTCTTCCCGCTCCTTCTTTGGCTCCCTTGTACCTCGCAGCATGACTCGCCTCAGGAATGCAGCTGTTGCCTAGCCCACTATCTATGAGTCAGCGGCAGCCTTGGAATTCTCTCTGCAGGTTTCATTCAGCTGTTGGGCTGGGCCCCGGATAGTGGGAGAAGAAGAGGTAGGCCACGGAAAGCCGTTCTTTTGCTGCAGGAAACGTGGAAGATGACTTCACTTTTAGGTTCGCTAAGCTTATCTGATCAACTTAGTCATGCTTTTCCTGTGAGGATGCTTTTAGAGGAGGACTTGGTCACCTCAATGTTTGCCCATTTGGGTTGGCTCCCTCACTGATGTGTTCCCTTCCAAAAAACCCCATTTCTTCATGGTCTAGGTTCATAGAGGTACAGTGGTACTTCGGGTTAAGAATTTAATTCATTCTGGAGGTCTGTTCTTAACCTGAAACTGTTCTTAACCTGAAGCACCACTTTAGCTAATGGGGCCTCCTGCTGCCACTGTGCTGCCGGAGCACAATTTCTGTTCTCACCCTGAAGCAAAGTTCTTCACCCGAGGTACTATTTCTGGGTTAGCGGAGTCTGTAACCTGAAGCGTATGTAACCTGAGGTACCACTGTACATACATGTGCAAGCCAGTCACTTGTTTCAACAAGCCTCGCCAATCTCAGGAGGAGATTGGTGTGGTAGCATGTAAGCATTCAGAAATATGTTTTGGGTGCCTATCTCAATGCACAAATGGGTGGCGCCAATGCTTTGATATGGAGAATGTATTTCATACATTCATTCACTAATTTGAAACATACACATCCTTCTATTCTTCAGAATGGTGCCAAATGTAGGCGAGGAGCTTGGTGTAGTTGTTGCACTTGGGAGACCGGGGTTCAAATCCCCTCTTAGCCATGAATCTCACTGGGTGACCTTGAGCCAGGCACCGTCTCTCAGTCAAACGTACCTCACAGAGTTGTTGTGAGGATAACACAGAGCAGAGAGAAAACCATGTATGCCACCTTGAGCTCCTGAGAGATGGGCGCTAAATGTCACAACATCAGTAATAAAATGTTAGTGCTTTGGAACAATTTCTGTATTTGGACTATGTCTGTCCGAAGTTGTGTTCCCACCCTGTCCTGCTTTTGAGAGCTAGGAAGGTGACCAACAGCAGCCTTGGCCTCAAACCAGTTAAAAGCTCAGCTACTTTCGGTACTGGAATTACAAGAGCACAGCAGTATCACTTGCAGCCACTACTTTAGCTGACAGGGCTGTGATGGCAGGAGGCTGAGGATTCATAAAATGGGAGAAGGGAAGGGTTCCCTTCCTTTGAAAGGAGAACCTGACTGCTCTAGGCATAGGAAAGGAGCAAGAAAGGCAGCGGGAAAAATGCCAAGAGTGAGAGCATTCAGAAATGAGACGAAACAAATTGAGGGCTGCAGGAATGCACGTCTACACATGCCCTGCCGTAGCTTGGAGGGTTAAATTATTAGATGTGCTTTTTCTAGGTGAGACACACACTTGCTATTTCATTTGTGCATTCAAGAGTTTGGTTTCCAAACCTCTCACCTCATT